TATCTCTTTTCATTCTGGGGGGCCGAAAGATCCATTTTTCTATTGGCCCATTTTTTTGGGGGGGGGGCTTCCCAGGCTACCCTTCCTGTCATTTAGGCATTTATGCTGTTTCTACTCTAGAGGAGAAGTGTACAGCTGCAGGCAGATGCGTGCACTTTCTGGGCCTGCACGCCACACATGCACTGTCTTTCCAAGGCAAGGAGGCAAGTTGTGTTTCTTAGAGGAGGCACTCAGCTGCAGGTACTGGAGGGCATGCACACTTTCTGGGCCTGCACGCCAGACACACACTCTCTTTCCAAGGCAAGGAAGCAAGTTGTGTTTCTTAGATGAGGCGCTCAGCTGCAGGCAATGGCAGTTGTGCACGCTTTCTGGGCCTGCACACCACACACGCATTCTCTTTCCAAGGCAAGGAGGCAAGTTGTGTTTCTTAGATGAGGCACTCAGTTGCAGGCAATGGCAGGTGTGTGCGCTTTCTGGGCCTGCACGCCACACACGCACTCTCTTCTCAAGGCAAGTTGTGTTTCTTAGAGGAGGTGCTCAGCTTCAGGCACTGGCAGGTGTACACGCTTTCTGGGCCTGCATGCCACACACGCACTCTCTTTCCAAGGCAAGAAGTTGTGTTTCTTACACTAGGGGAGGTGCTCAGCTGCAGGCACTGGCAGGCATGCATGCTTTCTCTCCCAGGCTGGACCATGCCAGCAGCCAGCCACACAATCTTTCGAAGGCATTTCAAGGAGCCTTCCCACTTCCAGGTAAGGAAGAGCAATGACTCCTGGAAGAGGAGAATAGTTTTCAGGGAATGAGGGTTTACTTTTTGTTTGCTGGGGGATTAATAAAAAAAGATAAAACTGTGATGCCAAAAAGTAGAGGAGGAGCCGGTATCAGCTCCTGCTTGCTTTTGTGTCGAGATGATTTTCGTACTGAGAGGGGCCTTTCTGTTATGTGCTCCCAAAGGTAACAAAGGAATGAAGGAATGGATGAAACTCAGGAAACTCTATTGCTCAGTTGGCAAAGTAACCAAAGATGCTGAAAAGCGTAATGAGTCACAGACAACTGAGCATTAGTCCATAAGACCAGAAATAATAACAACCCTGGGTTGTGGTCTGATTGTTTAGGCCTCCAAGTGTGGCAGATGGATATATACAGGCAGTCCCTGAGTTACAAACATATGACTTACAAATAACTCATAGTTAAGAACAGAGGTGAGACAACAGGAAGTGAGTGAAATCTTCCCCTAGGAAGGAAAATTCACTCGTGAAAGAGTTGTCATGGGGAAAAGGCGTCTCAAAGTTTTCTTGCCAATCCTTGTTTTCACAATAAGATGTATTTTCAAAATCCAATTATCACAGGGACAAAAAGTGAGGTGAAATTTTCTGAACAGGGGCACAGACAGCAACTGTTGCTGTTTTGGTGAGCATTAAATGAAGGGAGTCCTTCCCTGCTAATCATTATGCATGCTTCTCCCTGTGAGTATCCTTTCTTTCTTGACCTTCAAATGCAACAGAGAAGATGTACCCACGAAATCTACGGAAGTGAGTTGCAGGTTTTGCTTAGTGGTTTTCTATTCATCATAAGCATCATAGGTTAATGGAGAGAACCTGTCATGCTCTCCTGCATGCCTTTCTTAGTGGCAATTGCTGCCAAGCCTTGAAATGAAATGGCTTGTCCAGAGCAAAGTAGTCCCGACAATGCATGTATGGGAAAACAGCCAAGGTTAAACATCCATAATCATGCCTAAGTAACTGTGAATCTAATAAGATAGAATAGCTCCAAGATCTGTTGAGAAAGCTGAAGTCCATCTTTAAATTAAACGCTTTCACTCACCCAGAACTGGGAGGGAACAATGGGTTGGGGAGAAACCTTCTCTGTCTGAGCAGACTAACACTTTACCTTCACAGGAAAGCTGGAATATTGTTGGCACATTATGTTGCAGTGGTTCTCAACTTGTGGGTCTCCAGGTATTTTGGCCTACAACTCCCAGAAATCCCAGCCAGTTTACCAGCTGTTAGGATTTCTGGGAGTTGAAGGCCCAAACATCTGGGGACCCACAAGTTGAGAGCCACTGTAGAGGTACATTTCCCTCAGAGTTATTGAAAGATGGTGAAGAGAAATGGACAACATTTTCTGTCTTGAAGTAATCTATTCAACCAGTACCTAACTTTTTTCACCGCCATTGGACCTGTGGCTTTCCCCACTCCTACCTGTGTTAGCCAAATGGTGCCAACGTAGTTCATCAAACAGATTCTAGTTAAGAAAACTAGGGGTACAAGCACTCCATCATAACCTCTGGGAGTAAATTCACACATGCATCTGCATTACTCAATGACCGCATTATAGAGAGATGAGTTGTGTGTGAAACACGGTGTTGGAATTTCTGAGAGTTTTAGGCCAAAATACCTGGGGTTGAGCCAAGTCTGGTTCAATTCCATCATTGGTGGGGTTCAGAATGCTCTTTGATTGTAGGTTAACTATAAATCCCAGCAGCTACAACTCCCAAATGACAAAATCAATCCCCTCCAACCCAGCCAGTATTCAGATTTGGGCTTATTAGGTATTTGTGCCAAATTTGGTCCAGTGAATGAAAATACCTCCCCCATATCAGATATCTACATTCTGATTCAGAACAGTAGCAAAATGACAGTTGTGAAATAGCAACGAAAATAATGTTATGATTGGAGGTCACCACAACATGAGGACCTGTATTAAGGGGTTGTGGCATTAGGAAGGTTGAGAACCACTGACCAAAACATACTTTTGCCTACCCCACATTTGACTAGTTTCTTTGCCAGAAGGCCATGAGAGACCTTGTCGAAGGCTTTTGTACAACTCTTTGCAAAGTTGAAGTGACTTGGTATGCTTTTCTAAAAATTCTTGGTTTCCTTGATCTAAAAAGGATATTTGTGGGTCGGCAAACACACAGACACATCGCTTCAGTCCTTGAAGTGAAGTCTGTGTCCATCTCCAGTTCCAAAACCAGCCCTGACATCAGACACGTCTCTCCCTTGGTCCTCTTGGATGAGTCACTGCCTCTGCCTTTGATGATTCATCCCTGGCCTCTTGGGGCAGGGGCGCAAGAGCCCTCTGGCAGGGGCATGCATGGGAGGAGGAGGAGGAGGAGGAGGAGGAGGAGGGAGTTTGCCTCCCAGTATCCAACCCATACTTTAACTCAGGCTGGGGGAGCGGGGGGGGGGGGGCTCCCTGTGAAAAAGCCTCCCTACCTGGGAGAGGAGCAAACAAGGAAGGAAGGAAGTGGCTCTTCCAAGCCATTGAATACTGATCAGACTTGATGTATTGTTGAAGGCTTTCATGGAGAGAATCACTGGGTTGTGGTGGCTTTTTCAGGCTGTGTGGCCATGTTCTAGAAGCATTATCTCCTGACGTTTCACCTGCATCTGTGGCAAGCATCCTCAGTGGTTGTGAGGTCTGATGGAAACTAGGAAAAGTGGGGTGTATATGTCTGTGAAATGTCCAAAGTGGGAGAAAGAATTCTTGTCTGTTGGAGGCAAGTGTGAATGTTGCAATTGGCCAGCCTGATTAGAATGTAATGGCCTTGCAGCTTCAAAGCCTGGCTGGTAGCTGCCTGAGGGATCCTTTGTTGGGAGGCATTAGCTGGCTCTCACTGATTCTTGTCTGGAATTCCCTTTTTTATTTTTTTAGTGTTACTGTGGAATGTCCAGGGTAGAAAGAAAGAACTCTTGTCTGTTCATGGCAAATATTAATGGGTTGTTGTAGGTTTTTTGGGTTATATGGCCATGTTCTAGAAGCATTCTCTCCTGACATTTCACCTGCATCTATGGCAAGCATTCTCAGAGGTTGAGAGGTCTGATGGAAACTAGGCAAGTGGGGTTAACATATCTGTGAAATGTCCAGAGTGGAAGAAAGAACTCTTGGCAGTTTGAGGCAAGTGTGAATGTTGCAATTGGCCAGCTCGATTAGCATTTAATGGCCTTGGAGCTTCAAAGCTGGCTGCTTCCTGCCTGGGAAATTCTTTGTTGGGAGGTATTAGCTGGCTCTCATAGCTTCTTGTCTGGAATTCCCTTTTTATTTTTATTTTTTGTGTTACTGCGGAATGTCTAGATTGGAAAGAAAGAACTCTTGTCTGTTAAAGACAAATGTTAATGGGTTGTTGTAGGTTTTTTTCGGGCTATATGGCCATGTTCTAGAAGCATTCTCTCCTGATATTTCACCTGCATCTATGGCAAGCATTCTCAGAGGTTGAGAGGTCTGCTGGAAACTAGGCAAGTGGGGTTAACATATCTGTGAAATGTCCAGAGTGGAAGAAAGAACTCTTGGCTGTTTGAGGCAAGTGTGAATGTTACAATTGGCCAGCTTGGTTAGCATTTAATGGCCTTGCAGCTTCAAAGCTGGCTGCTTACTGCCTGGGGAATCCTTTGTTGGGAGTTATTAGCTGGCTCTCATTGATTCTTGTCTGGAATTTTTTAGTGTTACTGTGGAATGTCCAGGGTGGAAAGAAAGAACTCTTGCCTGTTAAAGACAAATGTTAATGGGTTGTTGTAGTTTTTCCGGGCTATATGGCCATGTTCTAGAAGCATTCTCTCCTGATGTTTCGCCTGCATCTATGGCAGGCATCCTCGGAGGTTGTGAGGCAAATGATAATGTTGCAGTTGGCCACCTCACAACCTCCCAACAAAGGATCTCCCAGGCAGTAACCAGCCAGGCTTTGAAGCTGCAAGGCCATTACATTCTAATCAAGCTGGCCAATTGCAACATTCACACTTGCCTCAAACAGACAAGARTYCTTTCTCCCACTCTGGACATTTCACAGRYATATAMACCCCACTTKTCCTAGTTTCCARCAGACCTCACAACCTCTGAGGATGCTTGTCACAGATGCAGGCGAAACGTCAGGAGAGAATGCTTCTAGAACATGGCCATACAGCCCGAAAAACCTACAACAACCCAGTGATCAGGCTTGATTAGGCTTTCTAAAGGAGGGGAGAGAGAGAGAATCATGTGACTCACATGATAAATACAAAGGGAGCCATTCGCCAGAGGCGGAGAAGAGTTGCTTCGACCCACCCCGTCGGGGGGAAATATAAAGTGGGTGCTGTTGCTCTCCTTCATTTCTTCACCAAGCAGAGCCTCCCCGTTGCGGTAAGTGCGCTCCGAGCCCCTCGCCAGCTTCACACCAAGGCTTTCCTTTCTCCTCAGTCGCACCAGCCCTTGTCCAGAGCCAGGGAAAGGGAGGAGAAGCAGCCCATGCCAGCCCAGCTCGCCCGCTTTGGCTTCCTTGGCGCTTCTCGACGGGAGCCGCTTCCTGCCGCCCTTCTCTCACTTTTCTTTCTCTGCTTCTCTTCTTTCTCTCGTTCGCTTCTCAGAAGCTCGGGGGCCGGTGTGTGCGAGTCTCCCTTCTCCGCCTCCTTCGCTTCTTCCTCCGCCCGGTTCCTCGACGGGCTTGGCATCGGACGGACAGGCAACGGCGGCGAAGATGAAATCCTTGCTGGTCTTCGCAAGCCTCCTCTTCCTCGTCTGGGCTCAGGTTTTCGCGGAGGAGCTGGGGGACCCCGAGGAGCTCAGCTACTGGTCCGACTGGGCCGACGGGGAGCAGAACAAGGTGAGGGGCTCTCCTTGGGTCAGCAGGAAGGGGGTTAAGGGGAGCCGCAAACTCAGGGTTTTCCCCAAGGCTCCCTCTCACATTCTCAAGCAGCAGTGGCTTAGAATCCTAGAGTTGGAAGAGACGTCGTGGGCCATCCAGTCCAACCCCCTGTCAAAAAGCAGGAAAATCGCATTCAAAGCACCCCCGACAGATGGCCATCCGGCCTCTAAAAGCCTCCAAAGAAGGAGCCTCTACCACACTTCGGGGCAGAGAGTTCCACTGCTGAACAGCTCTCACAGTCAGGAAGTTCTTCCTAATGTTCAGGTGGAATTTCTTTTCTTGTAGTTTGAAGCCATTGTTCCACGTCCTAGTCTCCAGGGCAGCAGAAAAAAGCCTGCTCCCTCTTCCCTGTGACACCCCCTCACATATTTATACATGGCTATCATGTCTCCTCTCAGCCTTCTCTTCTGAAGGCTAAACATGTCCAACTCTTTAATATGCTCCTCATAGGGCTTGTTCTCCAGACCCTTGATCATTTTAGTCCCCCTCCTCTAGACACACATTCCAACTTGTCAACGTCTCCCTTCAATTGTGGTGCCCAGAATTGGACACAGTATTCCAGGTGTGGTCTGACCAAGGCAGAATAGAGGGGTAGCATGACTTCCCTGGATCTAGACACTATACTCCTGTTGATGCAGGCCAAAATCCCATTGGCATGAATTTATTTATTGTATTTATTTATCATATCAGGAGCAAAACAATGTATTTGAGAAAACACAAAGTTTAAAAACTTGGCATTATACTAAATGTCTTTTGACCAATAGCTGGCCACTTGGAGTGCCTCTAGTGTTGTTATGAGAAGGTCCTCCATTGTGCATGTGGCTGGGCTCAGGCTGCATTGTAATAGGTGGTCTTTGAATCCCATTGATCCCAACTAGAACAAACCCCTCAAACCAATGGGATTTACCTCCAGGTTGGTCTATTTCAGGTATGGGCAAACACAGGCCCAGGGGCCGGATACAGCCCCTTAGGCTCTTTCCTTAGACCCTTCTCTCTCTCACCATCCTATCTTTCATTCCTTCTCTCTTTCTTTCCTTCCCCCTTCCCTTCCTCCCTTCCTTACTCCCTCTTTCTCCCTCCCTCCCTCCTTCCTTCCCTTCCACCCTTTCCTCCTTCCTTCCTACGCTCTTTCCCCTTCCTTCCTTCCCTCTCTCTCTCTCCTTCTCCTTCCTTCCTTCCCTCCTTCCTTCCTTCCCTTCTGTCTTTCCTTCCTTCACCCTCTCCTCCCTCCCTTCCCTCCCTTCCTCCATTCCCTTCCATCCTTCTCTTCCATCCTTCCTTCCCTCCCTCCCTTCCTTACCTCCTCCTTTCTTTGTCCCTCCTTCCTTCCTTCCCTCTTTCCTCTTCTTTCCCTCTCTCTCTCCTTCCTTCCTTCCAAAACACCTGGAGGGCCAAAGGAGGAAGAGGAGGGGAAAACTGACTTTCTGCTGCTGTAGAGACCAGGACACAAGGGAGCAATGGGTTCAATGGCAGGGAGAGAGATTCGAGCAAAAAGATTAGGGTGAATTTCTTGAGAGTAAGAGCTGTTGGAGTGTGGCATAGGCTGCCTGTGAGTGTGGTGGAGTTGCCTTCTCTGGAGGCTTTTCCGCAGAGCTGTCTATCGGGAGTGCTGTGATTGTGCTTTCTTGCAATGCAGAGGGTTGGACTGGATGGCCCTTGGGGTTTCTTCCAGGTCTAGGATTCTATATCAGGAGTAGGTAACATGAGATCTAATGGATACACTTTTTCTCTCCCATCCACCATCTCATCCTGATGTCTTTCCTTCACTTTCTGCCTCCAAAAGAGAAGAGGAAGGGGAGGAAAGGGCCAGGAGGGGACTTGGGGAGAACTCCCTTCCTTCTGCCCTGCCCACCCTGCTCCGGCCTGCCATGCAGCCCCCAAGTTAGAAAGTTTGCCCATGCCTAGGTTAGATGCTTTGTTTTATGGGTCTTCTGTTCTGAAATATTGGTGGGGACATGTTTATTCTTACATTCAATATGCCTTTAAAGTTTTAAAGGCAGCCAAGTGTAGTTTAAAGTCATTGGATTGTTCCTGGCACTGCGGAGCGAGATCAGGAATCCTTAAGCCAAGAACAAGATTTGGAGTTTGGTCTCTATTCAGAGCCATGAGCAGGAGATCCCCAGTTGCACCACGGCTTCTGCTTCCAAATCACCTGTTGACATTACAGCCCTATGCATATCTTAGGGTTTTGCTAGACAAGGAATCCTCAGAGTGGGCTCACTAGTTGCTTCCTCTGAAATATATAGACCAAAGCACAGGCATGGGTAAACTTTCTAACTTGGGGGCCCACACACTAGTACTCCCTGCTAGGAGGACTGGATGCCCAGTGATAGAAGGAAAGAAGGAAGGAAGGGAAGGAGGAAGGAAAAAGAAAAGGAAGGAAAGAGAAAGGGAGGAAGGGAAGAATGGAAAGAGAAAGAGGGAGAGAGGGAAGGAAGGAGGAAATAGGGAAGGAAGGAAAGACAAAAGGGGAGGAAGGGAGGGAGGAAAAGAACGATGGAAAGAAAGAAGAAAAAAATAAAAGAAAGAGAGAAGGAAGGAAAAACAAAAGGAAAGGAAGGAAGGAGAAAGAGGGAGAGAATAAAAGGAAGGAAGGATGAAAGAGTGGAAGGGAAGGATGGAAGGACAAAGTGGGAGGGGTGGGAGAGAAGGAAGGAAGGAAAGAGAGAAGGAAAGACAAAAGGGAGGGAAGGATGGAAGGAAGGATGGAAGGGATTGGAGGGAGGGAAGGAAGGAAGGAAGGAAGGAAGGAAGGGAAGAGAGGGAGGGAGGAAGGAAGGAAGGAAGGAAGGAAGGAAGGAAGGAAGGAAGGAAGGAAGGAAGGAAGGACAAAAGGGTGGGTAGGAAGGGGATAGGGGGAGGAAAGGAGGAAGGAAAGAGGAAGAAGGAAGGATAGGATGGTGAAAGACAGGAGAACCTGAGAAAAGAGCCCAAAGGGCCGTATCCAGCCCCTGGGCCTGGGTTTCCCCATATCTGCTGTAGCATCTGGAATTCCAAGGTTAATCCTATTTTGCATCCAAGAACAGACGACATCCAATGTGGTGAGTTGGTCCCACCTTTTAGACCCCTTGAATCCATCGTTGGCAAAAAAAATAAACACAGAAGCCATTCCCACTGGTTAAATGAGTCTACTCTTGTCAAATCAATAGGATTCAAGCCACTGTCTTGAGCTTAAGCAGCTGAGGGGGGAAAGGAAAGGGCCTGAGGCTGTTAGAAATTGTGTGAGTTGAAGTCCAAAACACCTGGAGGGCCAAAGTTGGCTCATGCCTGGTCTATACAAACATTTCAGAGAAAGTGCATAGGATAGTCTTGGTGGAGTGGACTGTACTCTGTTTAATGAGAGATGTAAGGGAAGAAGAGAGATATTGTCATCCTTTCAAATATATTCACACACATGTGTTGTGATCATGAATAGCAATTGTAAAGAGATGCATCAGGATTTCACTTCCAAGAAAGCATGCTTAAAATCAGGCTGTGCAGGTGCAGTTACAACAATGGAAACATTCCTAACTCTAATTATCTTAAGCCACAGGTACATTTCAATCATCCTGTACATATATAAGACTTAAAACTACATAAACATAGGACTACAAAGGCAGAAGTGTAATTTGAAGCCAAATCTTAGCCATTTCTCATTTGCCCAGCACAAATTGACATTAGAAGTAAGTGGAACTTCCAGAAGGGCTGCTTCTGGCTCTTCCTTCCCAGTATTTTAACATGAATAGAAATGTTGGCATTTTCCATTGGAAAATCTCTTTCCATATTTTTTCTGCAGCTTCTTCTGACTTTTTTTCTTGTTTTCACCAAAGCAAATAAAATGTTAAAGAAGAAAAAGTAAGAAAATATGCACAATGAACTGACTTGAACGAGGAGGTCCCCCCAAAGTGTTTGTGTTTAGATGCCTTCAAGTCACCTGTTGACTTATGGTGATCCCATGAATTTAACTGTGTTTTCTCAGCAAGGAATACTCAAAGGGGGGTTTTGCCAGTTCCTTCCTCTGAAATATAGCTTGCAGCTACAGGCTAATCCAGAACGACCCTGCTGATCTTAGCTTTCAAGATCAGTCAGAATATGGTGCCTCCAGGGTTTGCTTAGCACACTACGAAGAAAGTGAAATAATGCACATTGCTATATAAAAGCTGCCCCATCTACCTGACAATCTAAAAGTACTTGATTATCTAAGAAAATCATCACTCACAAATGAGCTAGCAAGAAGAGTGCAGGGGATTTAGAAGGATCAAGACGGTTTATTAAAACAGCACAAGCCATACTGTACAACGGTGAAAAGTTACTTTTTGAACTATGAATTGCAGTGGCTGTGCTGTCTAAGGGAATTCTGGGATATGTCTGAAAAATTATTTTTTCCCAGTGTTGACTTTAGATCAGTGATTCCCAATCTGTGGTCCATGGACCACAAGAACCATGGTCCGCAACCACACTGTTACTACACTGTTGCAACGAGAGCGAGTGGTCTCATGAAACGCTCTTATAGTGCCGGGGCTTATTAAATATGGTTTTCTGTGGGCAAGCAGATGGTGACTACTAGATGGCATATGTTCTGTATCAGAAAATAGAGCTGATATGGTCTATCCAATGTAATTATCTGAATCAGCACTCCAAATGTTATGATGTTATTGTTTTTTACCATGTACTGTATTTTTGCTGTTCTGTTGTTAAACCGCTGTGAGTCGCCTAAGGGCTGAGAACAGCGGTATACAAATAAAGTAAGTAAGTAAATAAATAAATAAATATCCAAACAGAATCTAAAATTGACCAAAACCTGATTTGTAACCCTTTTAGTACTAATGTTGGGAAGGTGGTCCCTGGTCAAAGTGGTCCCTGGTCAAGTGGTTCCTAGTCAACAAAGGTTGGGAAGTACTGCTTTAGATCATATTCCCTCTCCCATATTGAATTAGCCGACAGACTCCATAACATGCTGTTTGAAAGTATCAACGAGT